CCCCAAAACCCCAAAACCCCAAAACCCCAAAACCCCAACTATACTGAAGAGGGTTGAATAAAGTCCGATTTAAAAGATTAATAACCTTCACTGTTAAAGTTGGATGACTTATACTAGAATTTAAACACAGGCAAGGCTGACTAAGTTGTCTCCATACCCTTCGATGTTGTAATCAGTATCATAAAGTAAATTTATTCTACTGTCAATCATCTCATCGATGTTCTCGAGAACTCTGAGAACATCCTTTGAATTGTCCATGGCAAGAGCGTCCATGTCGTCTCCCTCGTATTCGAGGAGAGCCTCTATATCGGTAAGATTTTTGTTGAGCTTAGGAGTTCCAATAGGAGGTTTGTTCTTGTTTCCTCCGAAGGACATGAATCTATTTACAACATCTGGACTCTTTTCGATTCTTTCAAATCTATCATCAATTTTTCTTACTGTCGGTTGCTCATTATCTTCTCTAGCATTTTTCACCGTAGAGTCACCAGTCAGGAAGGAGGTTATAGGCTTTGGATCAAGGATCAGCGAAGGAACTTTTTGAAGAGGAAGATCCTCCCCTGCATCAGCCTGATCTCTAGAAGGGAGCTCTGGAGTATCTGGTTTAGCTCAGTTCATAACAGTCTCACGGTTAACTACTTCATCCTTCTCTGGAGTTTCAGCAGGCTCATTAAGCTTGTCGAACTTCTCCATCATCTCGGACATCCTCTGGTTTTCCTTCATAGATTGGCCTTCCTGATGAATGTGGGTGATTGATTTATTCAACTTATCATTATCAGAATGATCTTCATGATAAAGATCAGAAGTTTTCTTAGGAGGATTGGTTCAGATATCAATAGAGTTTTTCCTTTTTCTGATTTTTAGGCTCTTTTTCATATCATTTGCAATCTCATTCCCAAAGAGATCAATCTCGCCTTTCTTATGTCTTCCTTCGTCTGAAGAGGTCTCACTCTGGAAGTTTTTGTCTTCATTTGCAGATGGATAAAATGAGTTTTTGCTAGACATAAAGAAAGCATCACTCTTCCTTGGTGCCTTGCTCTTCACAAATAGAGAAAACTCTCCTCCAGAATTGTTTCTAGTACTACTAGGTAATAAAGAATTCCTCGTAGGGGCTCTATTCTCTTGGCAAGCTTTATCCAGAATCTCACTAGCAGAGGTTGGGTAATCATGAAGAATCTGCAAGAATTTGTACTTCTTAATTTGTTTCTCTTTATATTCCAAATCTATTTCCATCTCTTCCAGCTGTTGGTTCAGCTTATCCACCTGTTCAGATAATCATGCTTTGGTGTCATCTCTTTCAGACTGGGTAAGTGCGATTTCTTCCAGTAAACTATCGATTTTCTCCTCTCAATTTTCAATAGCACCCTCGTAAGCTTGGTTTCTTCTCTCCAGCTCCTCGTACTCCATCTCAATCGTTACTAATCGATCATTCATTTTCTTATATTTTTGCTTGAGTTTCTCATAGTCGTCTTTATTTTTATTAGCTTCTTGCTCAACATCCATAACTTCAGCCTTGTACTTATCCTTAAGCTTCTTATACTCATAAAGGATTTTCTCATGAGCTCTCTTGAGCTTATCATATTCGTCCTTCTGGTCATTCAAATCTGAGGTGGCTTTCTCTGATTCTTCGGTAGCCTCCATCATCATTTGTTCAAGCTGGGATTCCACATCCCTGCTTGTAATTTTGAACTCGTTGAAGTTCTTCCTCAGGTCTCTGACAAGATCCTTCCAGAAGGAAATGTCAGACATCTGATGCTCTTCGGCAGTGATTAGATCTTCCTCACTCATTTTTAATATTATTAATCCAATTGTTAATAAAAACAGTGGGGTTTTGGGGTTTTGGGGTTTTGGGGTTTTGGGG